ATGCACGTCCTTGAAACTAGGTTCATCTGTCAAGAACAGCTTATTCATCACATCATCGCCACGGTCTTTGGTGAATTTGCGAATGATATCTATTACCCAATCGCCGACTTCAGGTCTGTTCTCCGGTACTAGCGGTGGTGTTGGGGATGGGTCATCCATGTCTTCGTCTTCCTCTTTATCCAGGTCGTTGCCATCGACTGGCTTATTGACTGGTGGTTCATCTTGTGCATCCGTTGTGTCGTTCTTCTGCTGTCGAGCGGTGTTGCGGCGGGCTTTCTTTTTGTTTTTCTTGCTTGGCATATTCGTTTATGATTCTTATTTATAACTTGAACATATAAGGTTACCGAAGGGGTGGATAATGAACCAAAATGGCCGGAAATAGAGGTCATATATAGCCCGTCTGCAGCCCGAAAAAGTTCCGCGGGCCAGCTATCCCTTGATGAGCATACGTGTGAAGCGGGACCTTTTGGGAATCGTTGAAAGGCCTTAGTTCTAGAACAGTGATCCACTGGCACCTTTTGGGTCCGCAACGGGAAATGGGGTCGCAAAGTAAGTCAACGTGGTTTATTCCAAGGCTCACAGGATCACTATAGTCAAGTTATAGTATGATAGAGGTGCTCTCAACAGCTTGATGCGTAGTCAAGGACCATGCAGAAAACAAAACATTCTTTTACCATTCTATGTGTATGCTTACTAGCACATGTTCAGTATGTCATACTAAATTATCCTTAATACAGTAGCTAATCATTATCAGGTATGTCCACTCCACGGTAACATGTTCATTGTTCTCCCACCAAACAAACACAAGCGAGAAGGTGGAGCTCCCTTTCTGGCCTCGCTGGTTAGTACTCGGTCAGCGAGATAACTATTGCGAACCGACACCTACTCCAACAACTATGTTCTCTGAAGAACAGCCGATTACATCGATTGTCACGTATGTTTCTTCTTCTGGCCAGGCTAGCCAGGTCTACGAGTTACCTCGCACGATGACACATACGTGGCCAAGAATGTCCACACCTACAACATTAACGCACAACTCTTCTGCTCCTCTGTCTTTTGAGCAAATGGCCAGGTCCCTACAGATTGTGCTTTTATTGTTTGCTTTTTGAAGACCTTTCCGTTGAAATCATATTGTATCAAATGTAATTAGATCATTGACATCATCCGCTCAGTTTATCTTGGACTGTTATATTTAATATCATTCAATGTAACTAATTAAAACAAACAGTAAAAGAAGAAGCGAGCAAGTTCAGAAAAGCAGGAACGCAGAACATAGTTGTATAATAATTTATCCTTTCTCAATACAGCGCCTAGCAGTCAACCTATAGGCCTGATAAAAAATGAGTGCACTATCTTCCTTACGGCATGACAGCGCGAGAAATAGTCTAAGTGTCCATATCCTCTGTCAACCTCTTTCGTATAGCTTCATAGTAGCAGACAACTACCCATGTCCATGGGATTATTGGTAATGAATGCTCATCACTGTTTCCTTCCGGGCACGGATTAGGGCCTGGGGAATAAATTTCATTCAGGTAGGAGAGGTGAGGCTTCAGATTCAACACCTTGGGCAAATGCAATCAAGTACTTTAGTGCATTGGCAAGTCGTGTGTAATTTCCCTGATAGTATGTTGCCACCATGATCCAGTGCTGAATGTCCTGTTGATGAAGATTTAGAGCCAATTGTGACTCATGAATCATGGTCTCGTAGGCCTGCACATCTTCTTTCGCTTCAGCCCTCGCCAATTCCAGAGCCACTATATCCTTCTCCGCCTGTTGTAACTTTATAAGGAGCTGAGTTTTTTCTTCCTTGACTTGTTCATATTGTTCATGCAGTAGAGGCTTCGGCGGCCGCTGATCCGCTATATATTAGAATCTATAGAGATCATTGGAAACGGAAATTCTGCACCTGAATTATCCCTTCATAACGAACAGCATGGAAAGACTTGCCGACCTCTCGTGACAACTGCATGTATACCCCCACCGAGTGTTTGCTCAGGTGCTTGTCAAACACAGGTTCAAGTAAAGGATCATCAATCTTCCATACGTATTGTAACTCCTCAGTGGACTTTAGCCTTACTTCCTCGGGCTTCAGTTGGATTCCGAGTTGTTCCCCTGTCCCTAACAGTGAGTGAAAAGGTTGTGAACATAAAGTCGCAGCCTTACAGATGTGTTGCGCAAGGTGATTTCGACATTGTGACCTCCATGAGGCACGATTAAGGTTCTTTAGCTGGGGATTCTGGTGGTCCATGTCAATCACCTTCTCGGATAACTTGTATGTTGGCCAGTGTTCCCCCGCACGTCTTATACGTCTTAGGGCTCCTGCGATCCTATTTGGGGCCGGCTTTGGCCGCTAGGAAATACCCAAGCATGCACCGTGGCTATTCCGTGTCATGTTTGAGATGACGATACCGCTGGTGACTACGGTATAAATTCTGTCAATGGTTCCATAGCTAGGCCGGTCATTTTTCTCTATATGTCAGACAGATAGTTACAGTACAGAGAGGATAGAAAGTCACTCTTGGCACCTATCCTATATATATATATATTCCTGCGAACTACCCGCTAGCTTCTCATGTTCCCTATTTCCAAAACACCACGGCCATGACTAAGCTGCGACACCTAATAGAGTCGCCGAGCAGTGGAGCCTATTTATCGCAGAATCGATCGCTGTTGCGCTCAGGGATATGGTAAGGTGTACCCGCCGTTGGAGAACTTTGCCCTTCTTGCATTTGTTGACCGAGTGACTGAAGCAGTTCAGACCTGTACTCAATGTATTGGAGCAACTGTGTTAACTCTTCTCCATTGGAATTTCCCCTTGCCTTCTCCATGTCGGCAAAGGATAGCCGCTGTAGACTGGGGTATATGCTCTCCTAGGAACATCAGTCAGAATCACCATTTAGAATGGAAGTATGTACACCAACAAGATTTTCATCAGATGGAAGCCAGTTCCTGTTTCCGACAGAATTATACTCCACTGTAGCGCGCGGATGATCGATTATAACGTAGACATTTGCCCCGGAAAGGGCCGCAAGCTCATGTGCCTTGCCTAGCAAGGTGCCGCTTCTTTTCCTGAATGTTTTGCGCTCATGCCGTCCCGGGTCCGGACCTCCCATCGTTTCTGCTTGTGGAAGAAGCTAAGAATGGATATGGCTTCGCTGGTTAGAGAGGATAGGAGAGCTGAGGACACGAGGAAAGACGAGAACAGATACTTCAACCTTGTTGGATCTGCGCGCCTGAGACCCTTTATTATACAGCTCTCATCACGTTTCATAGTTCCTAAGTCCGACAATAAACAATACTTGATTGGTGGAAAAATAGAAACATAAAATAAGGTACCAAAACACAATAAAAAAATAAAAAAAAAATAAACAAAAAATAAAACAAAAATATCCAGAAGAAAAGAAAAAGGAGTGGCGGCGACTCCCGACAGATGTTGAGCGCGGTTAGGTGCGATCTACGTTCGCCCCACGCACCTAACTAGTCGACTAGTTTTCAGTTCGTCCTGATCTGCATCCGTGGAACGAAACCTCTTAGTGGGACTGTTCCAAGACTTCCCCGACGAACGTTTCCGCCTCATCCCGTGAGTGGGTCTCCCCCGTCCATCACAACTGCTACATGGAGAGGAGCCCAACCGACCATGATCACGACGGCCAAATGGCGCATACAACTGCTGGCATCCAGTGAATGATGCCATACTCTCAGGAAAGCCGCTTATTCTCCATCTCTTTTTTGTGGGTGTCTTTAGGTAAATATTGACGACCTTATCTGGATGGGCGACAAGGAATGATACCGGCCGGCAGTATCGTCCACAAGCCGAACAGAGTTCACTTAGTCCCTTTAGTGGCCCTATGGTTTCAGAGTCAGTTAAATAATCTAGGCCTTGAGGGTGGAGATGCCCCAATGTATCGACCACCTGCTTCGCACGACCCTTGCACCGTATGGTCCCATAGCACCAAAACGGTGTGACAGTATCTTCCGGTAAAGTTTCAAGGACAAAATAGAATCGGGACACAAGTAACGCCGTCGCCGCCTCTCTCGCCATCCGAGCGCTTCCCGGGGAGATGGTAACAAGGTTCCGGTATTCCTCCATCACCTCGACTGTATCGATGGCGCTAGGCATATCTCGAAGAGGTATGTTCAGCCGAAGATAGTCCTCCTTATAGATGTCCTCCAGCTGCCCAATCATTTCCAACCATTT